GTGCATGGATAAAAGCTGAGAAGCAACAGCATGATTTTATCCACGATGGAAAGAGATTCCTCCCCCAGTCAGAACGGCAACTTCCTGAGGGTTAGTGCAACTAGAACCACACCGAGGAAAGAAATACCAACATTCAGAAAGGCAGTCAAGGGGTGATAGAAAGACACTAAGCATGCTCAATATGTAGCAGCTGGAGAGTCATATGGGGGCAAAGAGGAAAATGATAATGGCTCTCCAAGAACATGTGCAAAGCCTCAAAAGAATTCTATCATCACAAGAAAGGGACCTGGGGCTAGGGTCCAGAATTACCTTGGTGGGACCCAAGGCCTATGGCTCTTCCTAGGGAGAAGCATAAACACTGTATCTTTCATCTTTCAGGCTTGTGTGTCCTAGGAAACAAGTACATACATATTTAATTTAGTTAAAAATTACTTCCAATTGGCAGATGTTAGGATATTAGCTTCAGCACAGAGAAGTGGTATTAAAATATTCACTAAATACATCAATATGTTAAACCGTCTGTGGGCTTTAAAATTGTATTGTGTATTCCATTATGGAAATATGCATGCGATATGTTAGGTGAAGAAAGCAAAAACACCAAACCATATGCACACACTGTGTTTACAGCTATGTTAAAATGTACAGTTACAGGATTTTAGGGAGCGAGACCAGATGATCATTGATAGAGATGCGAATATTTGGTATTTTAGTGTTTACTGAATATTTTCCCTGTACATTTTTCTAGTAAACTTCATTATGTAGAAAGAGGTTGTTCCCTCTAATCAGTCATAGCATGCATTAAATGATATTTCCAGATGGGGATGGACTGTACGTCACTCCCACTCTAACACAGAAAGACCGTCATATAGGTTATACGGCCTATAATGGGGTTCTGTAGGACTCCATCACTGAAAATAAAATGATTTTCCAGGAGGCGTATGGACTGAGGAAAACAGCATTAATAAACTTTAAAATGAGTTTCCCTAGATGAACTTTATTGTCTTCCTATTTAGGTTATATTAAGTCAGCTGTCAACCAGACACTGAAGTTCAATTCAGCAGCATTATTAATTAGGTAGACCATTTCGTAATAATATTTGCTCACATTTCATTTAGGTCTCAGTGAATTTCACATCATTCTCCTGCTGGTCATTTTGTTCTTAATAAAAGACTGAAGAAAGCTCCTGACCTTCTAGTCTGGAAAGAAAACGTAAGGGATAAAATAGAAATACAATTAGCAGTGGTACTTTCCATATTTCATGACTTTTCTATAAACAGATGTTTTCTTAGCTGGCCAGTCTACAAGTGCATGGGTCATATGAGGAGCAGCATTACTGAAATCCTTTAGGGCAAATAAAAACCAGCTCTTATCTTGCAAAGACTCCTTCAGAAGCCTCACACATTCATGGTCTTACAACATTTTTTATCCCTTCCCTACCTCTTGGTCCCATAGCCTTGAACACGCCTCTCATCTTTATCTCCCCTCAGGAGATTGAGTGAAGAGAAGAATTCTGGAAGAATTTTAGGAATTGGGTCAATGGAGTTTGTGTCTAGAAACTTCATGTTTTGACATACTGAGGGTATCTATACTTTTAACAGATATTTTCTACCTGAGATTTACTGGACAAGAGAGCATAACAATTTTTTTTTTTTTTTTTTTGAGACGGAGTCTTGCTCTATCGCCCAGGCTGAAGTGTAGTGGTGTTAGCTCACTGCAACCTCTGCCTCCCAGGTTCAAGAGATTCTCCTGCCTCAGCCTCCCAAGTAGCTGGGACTGCAGACACACACCAACATACCCAGCTAATTTTTGTATTTTTAGTAGAGATGGAGTTTTACCATGTTGGTGAGGTTGGTCTGGATCTCTTGACCTTGTGATCCCCCAAGAGTGTAACAATTTATAGACACTTGACACTATTAAATTCAGCTTCACTCATAAGTTGTCTGACCAACCATTTTGGACAAGAGAATCTGAGTTTGGAACACAAAAACAAGATAAAGAGGAGAGGTCCTTTTTTCTTCTCATGATTGAAGATGTGCATGGGGGTTGGCAGTTGAGGAGTGGTCAGAGAGGTGTCAAAGAAAGAGTGGAGGTAGAGAGGAATGCCAGGAAATCTCAGCTCAGGATGATTAGTGTCACTTGATCTCAGAATACCTGTCTTTCAGCAGGGCATACGTGGGTGACATGGTTTGGGTCTGTGTTCCCCCTCAAATCTCATCTCAAATTGTAATTCCCATGTGTTGAGGGAGGAACCTGGTGGGAGGGAGGTAATTGGATCATGAGAGTGGTTTCCCCCATGCTGTTCTCGTGATACTGAGGGAGTTCTCATGAGATTTGATGGTTTAAAAGCGGCAGTTTCCCCCACATCTCTCTCTCCTACCACCATGTAAGACATGCCTTGCTTCCCCTTCACCTTCTGCCATGATTGTAGGTTTCCTGAGGCCTCTCTGCCATGCAGAACTGTGAGTAAATTAAATGTCTTTTGTTTGTAAATTACCCAATCTCAGGTAGTATCTTTACAGCAATGTGAGAACAGACTAATATGATTGGGAAAATGCAAATTAAGTCAAAGATTTCCTCAGCCCAGTCCCCTGTGACTCTAGGGCAACTGCAAGTCCTGCTTCAAGAGGAACCTCATCCAACTCGATGTTTTAAAATCCTTTCTGTTTTGCCAAGAATTAGAAAGTTTTATGGGCTCACTCAAAAGTCATAGCCCTACAATTTTTACTTCTTCCAAGGCTTTGGGGGGACCCTCTCCAAAGAATAACTATACTGATTGAACTTTCTCACTAAATATTCAGTCCTCTAAACTTTTGCTCGGTGTTTCCAAGCTTATCTCATTAAATGACTGCATTGCTGATGCCTAAGCCACCTGCTACTGTGGATCAGACCCAGCTTTACTACCACTTCACAAGTGTCATATCAAGAGAACTCTCCAGCCCTGTCAGCAGACTGATCAAATCATGTGATACAAGTTTCCAGGCTGGCCTTCTTTATGGCTGTGTGGGGAAAAGATTATTCAAGAATTGCCTGGGGAGTTCAAGCTGTTCACAAGCCATTACCAAGGGATGAGGGTGCCATAAAGAACTGTAAAAAGGAAATGTCATTGTTATAACAGAAGGCCAGTGTTGCATCTTATTGGCTACCCCCATCCAACACATTCAGGCCTGATTAGCAAAGAAGCCTTGGCTAGGAGATACACTACCTTGGAATTGATTTTGCAATTAAACAACCTTGGCAGTACTCAGCACAGCACGTGCCTGATTATTTAGGCTCAGTTCAAGTGAAATTGCCAAAAACCATGATCAATAATCCATATTGGATTTATGTTGGACCACTGAGGAGAAAATACTTTTCCATTTTGACAGATTTCCTCAAAATAGCTTGCAGTGTTCACAGTTTTTCTTCAAACCTTCTTCCATCTGCAGCCATCACAGCTCTGTGGCAAAGATGACATTCACCTCCATGGAGCTGAGGGAATGAGTCACCAAGATTCTTATCCAATCTGTCTCATCATCATATCTCACTGTCCACAGACACATGGTGTAGCTACATTCATGGAGCATCGCACCAAGGAACCTATCTAATTTTACAAACTATTCTTTCCTCATTCCACCGCCAATGCACGTACTTTTTACAACTCCACACTCCACCTTAACCAGATGATCCCTAGTATGGATCTTCATGTTCCCTACTGTATCTTCAATCCAAGTTTCACAGCTTCAAAAGCAAATATGTATACATCAAAAGCAAATGATTCAACATAAAATAACATTAATAAATTCTTATAAATTCAATGTTTTTATTATTATTCTATTACACTTACCTCCATTTGTTGTCAGAGGGTTTAAGTTAAATTTGCAGTCATTTTGCAAAGTTGGAACATTTTTCTATGGCTAGTAAAAGAGAAGCCTTTGAGTTGTGGATATTATTATTTTCCTTTATGTAGCTTACAAGCAATGACAAATTGGTAATGACTGTCTGGATTGCTGCGATATGAACAATTCAGAGGATATTTCCAAACTGGGAGAAAGAATTCCAGGAAAGATTGTGATGTCTATTATTATCTCAAAGGGAGAACTTTGAGTATACATGCCACACATTTGCAATTTTTACCTTAAATTTCTCACAAATAATTAGTTTTAAATGTTTTATTCAATAACAATATTGAGGGGTGACAATGTGCTAGCGGCCCTCACTCTCGGTGCCTCCTTGGCCTTGGCATCCACTCTGGCGGTGCTTGAGGAGCCCTTTGGCCTGCCACTGCACTGTGGGAGCCCCTCTCTGGGCTGGCTGCTGCCGGAGCCAGCTCTCTCTGCTTGCTGGGGAGGTGTAGAGGGAGAGGCATGGGTGGGAACTGGGGCTACGCCAGCATGAGTTCCAGTGGGTGCCTGCCCTGGCACCAGCCGGGTCCCCCCAAACTCCCCACCCCCGCCCGGGGCAGTGACAGGCTTAGCACCTGAGCCAGCAGCTGCGGAGGTTGCGCAGGGTCCCCCAGCACTGCCGGCCCGCATGCACCGCTCTCAAATTCTTGCCAGGCCTCAGCCGCCTCCCTGCAGGACAGGGCTCAGGACCTGCAGCCCGCTATGTGGGAGCCCCCGCCTCCCCTACCTCCCCGATTGTAAATACACCAATCAGCACTCTGTGTCTAGCTCAGGGTTTGTAAATATACCAATCAGTACTCTGTGTCTAGCTCAAGGTTTGTAAATACACCAATTGGTACTTTGTATCAAGTTAACCTAGTGGGGACTTGGAGAACTTTTCTGTCTGGCACTCTGTGTCTAGCTCAAGGATTAGAAACGCACCAGTCAGCACTCTGTCAAAATGGACCAATCAGCTCTCTGTAAAATGGACCAATCAACAGGATGTGGGAGGGGTCAGATAAGGGAATAAAAGCAGGCTGACCAAGCCAGCAGTGGCAACCAGCTTCGGTCACCTTCCACAGCCTGGAGGGTTTGTTCTTTTGCTCTTTGCAATAAATCTTGCTGCTGCTCACTCTTCAGGTCCACGCTGCCTTTGTGAGCTATAACACTCAATGCGAAGCTCTGCAGCATCACTCCTGGAGCCAGCGAGACCACAAACCCACCGGGAAGAATGAACAACTCCAGATGTGCCGCCTTTATGAGCTGCAACACTCACCATGAAGGTCTGCAGCTTCACTCCTGAAGCCAGTGAGACCACGAACCCACCAGGAAGAATGAACAACTCCAGACGCGCTGCCTTTAAGAGCTGTAACACTCACTGTGAAGGTCTGCAGCTTCACTACTGAGGCCAGTGAGACCACGAACCTACCAGAAGGAAGAAATTCAGGACACACCGTCTTTAAGAACTGTAACACTCACCACGAGGGTCCGCGGCTTCATTCTTGAAGTCAGTGAGACCAAGAACCCACCAATTCCAGACATAATATTATTACAAGAATCTAGATGAGAAGTGAGTAAACTATAACCTGTGGGCCAATTCCAGACCCTCTGTTTTTGTAAATAAAATTTTATTGAAGGCAGTCACTTACATTTATTTGCATGTTAGCAATGGCTGCTTTTGTGCAACAATAGGCATATTGAAAAGTTGTGATAGAGAGCGTAGAGCCCACAAAGTGTAAAATATTTGCTATCTGGACCTTCACAGAAAAAATTCCACCTCCTGATCTAGACCTAACCTCAACCTACTGCTTGATTTCTTTTTCTGTAGACCTAATAGCTAAAGTCACTTAATTCACTGTTGCTGGTTCAACCCCACTTGGTCTTTATTCAAATGAACTTAATTAAAAAGCTCAGGTATCTGAGCATCAGTTTAACTTCATGACCTAAAGAGACCCTTATCTCCTACACTGTAATAATGGGTAGCTGCCCATTTTCTGTAACTCAGTTGCCATTTGGTATTCTAGTTCCTACATGTGTGAAGAATTAACAGATGCCCCGCACCACACACACTGCCCTTCTATTTCAATCTTTCAGATCCCTGTCACCTACCTGAAATCCAAAAGGCCATCCTTCAGAATTACGATTACCAACTACTGCTGCATATAAAATCACCTCAAAACCCTATGGTTTCAAACAACAATCAGCAATTAGAATTCATGTGTCCGTGGGGCAGCTACTCTGGACTGGGCTTATTATAGGTCTGTGGGTCCCCTCAGCAAGCACAGGGACTGTGCTTCAGCCTGAATTTTGCTGGTGCAGTTTAATTGGGCAGCTCTGCTCCACATTTCTTTCATCGTCCTCCTGCTAAAGGATGGGCTAGTCCAGGCACGTTCTTGTCCTGGTGATGTTCTAAGTCCAAAAGGGAAAGCTCAACCGCACAAATGATTTTCAAGTCTCTGCTTGCTCACGTCTGCTAACATTGCCCCAAACAAGCACAAAGCCAAGCCCAGAGTCAAGGGGTAAAACTAAAGCCCTATTCATAGATGGATATCTACAAAGTTACATGGCAAAGGGCACAGAAAGAAACCATTAATGCAATTCACAAATAGGCTCTCAGAAGAATCCAATAACCTGTCTGTCAGGTGACCATCTCCAATATCTCTATCAAACTGATCCGGAGCTAAACAAAACCATCAGCATATATAGTATAGAAAACAAAGACAGGGTGCCAACTCTCTTGATCCCAAATTCCAAAGCATGCATGAGAAGAGGGAGAAAAAAGAATTACATCTTAACCTCAATTCTAGCATCAGCAATGATATTCTGAAACACAAGAGAACTTTTAGAAGTCGCTCTTCATGTGAAGCCCACCTGCCCAAAAGTAAGAGCCACACCCTTATCTCACAGTACATATAAGTGGGATGATGACAGTAAGCCATCTGGTAGAGTGGATGATACCACATCAATAGATGCCATCAAAAACTGCTGGGTTTTGTGAATTTTTATCTTGAGATAATTGTAGATTCACATGCAGTGTAAGATATAATATAGAGAGATACTGTATACTCCTCACCCACTTTCCGCTAATGGTAAACTCTTTTAACATTGCAGTATAATATCACAACCAGAACACTGACATTGACACAATTCACCAACCTTATTCAGATTTTACTAGTTTTACATGCATTCTCATGTGTGTGTATTTTTTCATTTTTATCACACATGTGTAGCTCTGTGTAACCATTACCATGATTAAGATGGTGAGATTCTTAACAGTTCCATCAAACATCTATATTTTATTAGTTGAAGGCCAATGAATTCTGTATAGGAGCACAGAATCCGCTTCATTGTAGGAGTTTTCAATAGTCTCAAACATTTGGTTCATGTCATGCAGTCATAGCCTCTGTCAGACATAGGATATTTGTCTCTTTTTAAACAGGTAATTGCCTGTTAAATGAGTCACGTAACTACTCTCCTCTCAAGTGACCATGGAGTGCTTATTCAGTGTGTATCCTCTTACAAATCTAATAAGAGCTGTGTAAAATGAATTAAAAAGTGTTTCACTGAAATGCTATCTCAAGGAAACCCAGCTCTGTCCATTATATTTGAAGCCATGAAAGAATCTGAAACACACTGATGAGTGAAACCCATTTAGATATTTTCTAAAATGAGATTGCTTCAGTTTTGCTATTGCTGATCTCATCAGAAATGATTCTTTGGCCATACTTGTTGTCTTGGCTCTGAAAGGCCAATTAATGAATTTCTAAAACAAGTGACTTGGATCCTGGATTTTTACAGAGGTTTCATAAATGACAGATGTGACAATGAACTTTAAAAGCATGGAATTTCACAGAATTCATTACCAGAGAGGGTGCCATGTGTCCTTCCTCCGACTCTCCTTCTGATTTTTTTTTGAGACAGAGTCTTGCTCTGTCGGACTGGAGTGCAATGGCGTGATCTCGGCTCACTGCAACCTCCACCTCCCAGGTTCAAGCGATTCTCCTGCCTCAGCTTCCCAAGTAGCTGGGACTGCAGGCAGGTGCCACCACACCCAGATAATTTTTGTATTTTTAGTAGAGATGGGGTTTCACCATTTTGGCCAGGATGGTCTCCGTCTCTAGACCTCGTGATCTGCCCACCTTGGCCTCCCAAAGTGCTGGGATTACAGGTGTGAGCGACCGCGCCTGGCCTCTCCTTCTGATTTTTGTGAGTAAAGATGCCAGAAAAACGTAGTCTTGACAAGAAGCTTTTATGAACCTCAAGCTGTATGCCCACCTAACATGTGTTGTGTTAGGACTTAGAGGAATGTACAAAATCCACGATTCTGTACAATGCAGCCTACTGTGCTGGATATAATCATAGAATAGTAAATCCTGGAGGACTTTCTATTCAAGTGGTTTACAATATTCTTAGCATTAGAACTTTCTGCTCAAATGTATCCTTTTAAAATACATTTTAAAAGGTTATACATGAACATAGTCCAAAGGATCAAAGAGTCCTACAAGACTTGACTTGGTGTAAAAAGCAGCAGGCTGACTTAGAATCAAATCTTCTTGAGTTTGCTAAGTCCCCAGTTTCTCATTTCTTTTTGCTCTTGTATTGTTCTTCGTTCTCTTGGCCTGTCTCTTGGTCTGTTCTCTTATGCCTTATATTACAAAGTCAAAAAATCAAACCTGTCTTGTCATTTCTGCAAGGTTCTGGAAAGAAGTAGAAAAATAATTATGTTTATACTGCTATCATTTACCAAAAAGCAAATGTAACCGTCTAAATCCCTAAATCCCAAAGACTCTCTCCTTATCAGGCATTCATCTCATCCCTTCAGAAGCCACTTGAGTCATCTCTTACCAAAGTTTTAAAAGCTCCTTGAAGTATTGGTTGAAAAAAACAATACAGTCATCTAATCTCAGCTTCATTTTGTAGATAAGCAAACTAAGACTCAAGTAAAATAAGAGTAGACAGATTTATACTGTGAACCACATCTTCTCTCTTCTTACCAGGTGCTCCTTCTATCATACCACATTGCCTTTACTTAAGTCAGAAAACAATGAAATTACTGGAAACATTATGACAGTGGTCGAGACAATCTAACCATTCATCACTTTTTCTTTCATTCAACAAATTTGGACACCTGCTCTGCACCAGGGATTATACTTGGCACTGAAGATAAAGTAACAAATATAACAAGCATGACCTTTACTTTACTCAGGTCTACATTTAAAGATTCAGAGGTCATTATCTGGGAGTTTGCAGGCTAGATTTGGCCAGCAGATGTGTTGTACTTTGCCTATCCATAATTTTATAAAAATAAAAATAAATGTATTGCCAATATTCATAAGTTGAGAAAATCATATTAAAGGCAATCTGGAAATCTGTCTTCGCTTGAAGAATGATCTAGAAAGACTGGGCCTTTAGTTTCTACTTGACATTAGTGTGAGATGTAGCAGTCCCTTTAGACTGAGCATGCACCCCTCATGTAGCCCAGATCCCGCCAGTACATTTCCTTCCTTTATATTATCTGCCTTGCCTCTGTAGAAACTGGAATTTGTCACTTTTTTTCTAGTGGTTTTCAAATTATTCTCTGTGGAATCTTAGGAGTTCTGATGAGGGCCTCAGCTGGTCAGATACAGAAGGGGTTCTGTTTTGAGAGCCCCCAGCTAAACGGAGGTGGCCAGCAACCCTCCCCTAACAGAAAAGCAAGGGACCTGGACATGAGTGCGGAAGTATGCCTTTCACGGAATACTTTTGGACCTGATGGACAGCCTAATGCCTCATTTTTCAACCCATGGAAGGGGGTCCCTCACAAGGGAAACTTGTTTATACTGGAAGATGCCCTTGTAGCTCTTGTGTGACCCGTGTGCAATTGCCTGACCATTGCTCTGGCAATAAGGACAGTCCCAGTCACGTGATGCAGGAATGAAGAGTCAGAGAGAGAGAGAGAGAGAGAGTGCACAGATTGAGGCAACAAGCAGTGTATATAAGGAATAGGATGCATATCACTTTAAGTTCATGGGCAAAGATTAGGTTGGTGCAAAAGTAATTGTGTTATTTTTCTTTTTTTCTTTTTTTTTTTTGCACCAATTTAAAAATAAACACCTGAATGGTCCCTTTAAAGGAAGTTTCTGGGAAGCAAGATGAAAGAGATGCCTTTAAGTTTTTATCTCTGACCATAGACTTGAGCCATCTGGGTGTAGTGTAGAACTGGAAACTGTGAAGGGTGACTGAGCCCTGCTTATGGCATGAAAAAACTAAACTTGTATTGAAAATAGATGTC